ATTCCACGACCTTATAGATTTTCTTGTCTTAAAGTAAAAATAACTTAATTTATTTGTAACAAATAACGATTCCAAAAATTATAGTTTTATCTGTTAAAGCATAGATGGCAGCATTGATAAAAGCCTACTGCATAATCGATTAAATACCCTTACATTTTTTATACAGCGATCTTCCGTGAATCCTTGTTCGATATAGAAAGATCATTTTAAAATATATTGAAAAGTATTCAAAAATTACAAATTTCTGTATTATCATCTCTTTTTGAGTTATCGATCTTTTAAAAAATTCTACATTGACACCTCAATGACTCAGAGGTATGAAATCAATTCATCAATTTTTGATGAGAAGGAGAGATTTTCAGTAATAAGTAGAAAGGTTGCTTCTGATGTTGACGTTTCTTTAGGTCTATAAACCTAGCAGTCCCAAGGTGGAAAAAAACTTCGGGAACTATACCATAATTATGTGCTATATCTATATAATAGGTGTTTTTAGGTGCTAATTAGGGCCTCTAATTAAAAATTAGGTGCTCCTTTAGTTTTTGAGAAAATCAAAAAAAACTAAGGGACTGCTAGGTTTATAAAAGCTAGCAGTCCCCTATAGTGAAAAATATTTTTCCAAAATTTTCTTTTGTATTAGAATTAGGTGTATTTAGGTGCCCCTAAATAGTCGACGAAAAAATAGAATTGATTAATTATTAACTGAGTTACAGATTTTTTTAAAATTATTAGGGGACTGTTGGCTTTACGTTTACATGTTGGTGTGTCACAATGGCAAAAAAACTTCGGGATCTATATAATAATTAGGTGCTTTTTAGGTGCTAATTAGGGCCTCTAATTAAAAATTAGGTGCTCCTCTAGTTTTTGAAAAAATCAAAAAAAACTAAGGGATTGCTAGGTTTATGAAAGCTTGTAGTCCTCTATAGTGAAAAATATTTTTTTTTTATTAACTGACTTACAGATAGCAGTCCCTTAGTTTTTCTTGATTTTCTCAAAAACTATAGGATAGGAGCATCTAATTTTCAATTAGAGGCCCTAATTAGCACATAAAAACACCTATTATATAGATCCCGAAGTTTTTTTGCCATTCTGACACACCAATAAGTAAACGAAAAGCCAGCAGTCCCCTAATAATTAAAAAAAAATCTGTAACTCAGTTAATAATTATTCAATTCTATTTTTTCTTCGACTATTTAGGAGCACCTAAAAAGCACCTAATTCTGATACAAAAGAAATTTTTGGAAAAATATTTTTCACTATAGGGGACTACTAGCTTTCATAAACCTAGCAATCCCTTAGTTTTTTTTATTTTATCAAAAACTAGAGGAGCACCTAATTTTTTATTAGAGGCCCTAATTAGCACCTAAAAAGCACCTAATTATTATATAGATCCCGAAGTTTTTTTTTCCATTCTGACACACCAACATGTAAACGTAAATAAGCCAGCAGTCCCCTAATAATTAAAAAAAATCTGTAACTCAGTTAATAATTAATCAATTCTATTTTTTCTTGGACTATTTAGGAGCACCTAAAAAGCACCTAATTCTGATACAAAGAAAAAAATTGAAAAAATATTTTTTACTATAGGGGACTGCTAGCTTTTATAAACCTAGCAGTCCCTTAGTTTTTTTTGATTTTCTCAAAAAATAAAGGAGCACCTAATTTTTAATTAGAGGCCCTAATTAGCACCTAAAAAGCACCTAATTATTATATAGTTCCCGAAGTTTTTTTTCACCTTGGGACTTCTAGGTTTATAGACCTCGTTTTTTTCTATGAAATCTAACAGGAAAATAAGTAAAAAATCCTATCCCAGACAACATCCTGGGTATTTAGTAGTTGTTAATTTAGGATTGGCTGTGATACGTTCTAGATAGTGATTACTGATTACTGTAAAAGTTGTAGAGTTGAGTTGTTTCAGTTAATTAGTGAAGTTTGTAGTAACTTGGAATAAATCAGTGTTGTGTTAAATGGACTTTGATTTTGGAATAAACAAACCCAAGATTTTTGTCACGCAGTACGTCTAAATGTCTGAAGATCAAAAAAATAAGATGTTCAGAAGACTTTATTTTGAAGACGTCCATCTGCTTGATATTTTCTATTAAAAATGACATTAGTTTAAAACATCTTATCAAAGACACCTTTAAAATGTTATAGAAAACAGACGTCCGAAACTGTGTGTTTTGTATAGCAAAAGACGTCTTTTAAAATATCTTCAAGACGTTACCAGACGTCTTAAATGTTTGTTTGTGTAGATCTTAGGGACGTTTTTAAGATGCCTCTGTGCTGTCTGGGATCCATAAAGTAAATTGAATAAACAGACTTTTCGGCTTAGAAGCTGCCCCTGATATATAGAAATAGCATAATTTTTCGGTGGACGACATTTAGTAATATTTCTGACCTAGGAATGGATGTAGATGATCATTTCTATAGAATTATTTACTATAGATAGTTGATAAATTTGCTCCTTCAAGTAGAAAAGCTCTGTTCCAACCGACATGAGAACCAGTAATTTCCAGTTGCTCACTTATTTTTCAATAAGTTGAACGCTTATCCTAATCAACAAATGAATTAGTCGGTTGGAAATTATATCGTTCTAGAATGGTTTTCATGTGCGTTAATTGGAACAGAGCTTTTTGTTATTTCCATACAATTGGACTTGAAAAGTCTTTAAACTTTGAGAAGTACTAAGATATAGGTACCTATATAATCAAAATTTGTGATGTTAATGTAGAAGAGGGTAAGGAGGGTTGCCAGACGTCCCACCTTAGGAGGGACAGTCCCGCATTTTGTTAATTGGTCCCGCCTTTTTTTAATTAATTTCAGGTCCCGCTTTTCACGTGAATTGTCCCGGTTTTCCCGCTTTTTCCACCCAATCTTCACATTTAGTGCAAAAAACACGCTCAATTTACAACTTCTTACATAAAAAGCTATTTTTACATTTAAAATCTACGCAAAAATCAAATAACGAGCCTGAATCGCAAACATTTCATCAGGGTCTGCGGATGACGTCACCAATATTAGCTGCTGACGTGGTGACGTCATCGCATACCTTGTGGACCCGTGAACCAGCGAACGTACGCCTTCTCAGGATGAGCAATCCTGTTAGTTTACGATTCTTCAGTTTTAATATGTTGTATGTTGTGTAGGTATAAAAATGTCAAAAATTCCAACAAAATCCAAATCTCATTGCACAAACAAACTAGCATCTGCAAAAAACTTTTTTTCTGGCCACTGAAAAATAGGCAACTTTCGTCAAAAATCATTTTTTCTATGACCGTTAGAAAATAAACAATTTCGTGATATTTCACCTTAGCCGAAAACTTCACTTTCGTCACTAGTGATAAAATATCTAGTGACGAAAGTGAATGATTTTGATTAGGATTTTACATGTTAAAAACATTCTTTCAAATCCAATTATAATTTAATTTTATGAAGCACAACGAAAGAACATAGTTTATCACAAAATTATTTAAATTTTGCTTTATAAATAAAAGCAGAACATACAGAGGGGCAAAAAAGTAGTGCAGTGCATACAAGCTTTAACTTTTTAGGACCTTTTTTCATACAAAAAGTTATAGGTATTATGCGCTACTTTTTTGCCACTCTATATAGCGTATAAATATGTAATATGCTATATGTTATATGATGACTGTTTACTGTTGTTTTGTCGTGAAGCGTTTATTTTGTTATCTAATAAAGGAGAAATTTTTTTTGGTCGAGTTTTGGTTGAATACTCAACCTTAACAAAATTTGGGCGAGGCTCCAAAAAATTTTTTGCGCTTTTGCTCAAGGCGGTCCGGTCTATAGGGGGGACACATTGGGCACTACAGCCCCTTCCCCCCTTATGCTTTTGGGCGTGACACCGGAGCTTTCCCTCTGGATAAGAGAAGTCCCGCTTTTTCATGTCTCAGATCTGGCAACCCTGAGGGCAAGGTAACAAGAAAAAGACTTCACTTTAGCTTGTAACGAGGAGAAAACTCACCTCTACCTTAGGAAAGTAGGTACCTAAAGAGATGAAAGTGATAAGGGAAGTTTCAGGAAAGAAATGTTGAGATGTCCAAAAAAAGCTTCGGGTAGTTTGGATGAGAAATCCGAGGTATATACTTAGATCTAGTATGAGAATTATCAAGGAAATTCGAAGAGCTTGGAGAAAGTTCAAAAAATCTAGAGAAAGTTCCTATGCAAAATTTAAAACCAATTTTTCTCTAAGCTTGTTGGTATTGCTTTTGCGATTTAGGTAATGGAAAGCTTGAACAAAATGTCCTTTTCATATGGGACCCTATATTATCTATTCACAATCCGATGTCGAAAGATAAAGGTAAAATGTATCACCTTTCAGTGCTATTTGATAGGGCAAGGTGATAAATTTACCTTTACCTTTGGACTACGGATTGTGATAGGATATACAGTCCCTACACTTCACTACCATTAGAAGTTGTTTCTGTCCTAGAAATAAATGCGGTAGATGATGTTTTTACAAAATTTGATACAATAATAAGATATAAAAGCATAAACTTTTTGCTATAGATGAAGAAAAAGCTTCAGTTAGTTTTAAGCTGGAAATAGTTACTTACCCAACAAATACAGAAAGTGATACTTTACCGCACGCCTCTAGGGCAGTTGACCAAACGACGCGAACCGTAAAATGCTACTTTTCACTTGTAAATAAGTGCGGAAAACTGCACTTTCCGCACGCTCATAAATAAAAGATAATTGAATACTCGTAGCACAATCTAGTTTACATCATAATAGTTTACATGTTACTGTAGTCTGCATATTGCACTTTTTTAAATGAATTACAGATTCCTGTCAACATTTCAAATTACAGATTTCTTCCCATTGAATTTGTAATTTAAAAGTTCTGTGATTTGTGTAGTTCATTTTAAATAGTTTCATAACTTTTTCTACTTTATTATTGTAACTTGAGAATTGAGAAATAATGCTCTATCTGTATTAATTACTTGAAATGTATTAATTGAATTGTAGCTTTATTCGTTAATTTATAGATGGCAGCACCATTATGGAATCATTCGCCTTTATGTCAGATCGGAATCATAACCTCATTTTTCCTTTTTAATTAAGTAAACAATGAACACAACAAAATTATTAACTTTTAGAGGTAATTAAAGCAAAACCCAATATCGTACCCATCTAATTATGTAAATTTCAGCACCTGCGGTGTCTCTAGTACAAATTTGTGGCTTCAAAAACTTCAAAGCACCTCCAAACTATGACCGTAAGTTTCATGCATCCAAAAACCATTGAATCAAATTAATAAATATCTTTTTCACAGACATCCAACTTCCTGAAAGACCCAAACTCAGGTTTATCGATAAACTGCCCAATCTACCACCCAGCATAAGACCTCCCAAAATGCAAAAACGTCTCAGATACATGAGAGGACCGGAAGATGTGCACAATTTCCTCATGCATCAGCAATTTGGAATTATTGCACTGGGTGGTGGAAGGCTTAAATGGGGCCACTTTGAAATGATGCGGTTAACTATTGGTAGAAAAATGGACACAAGTAGAATGTTTGCTTCTTGGAGAATTGACTCTCCATGGCAGCCTGTCACTAAAAGGGGCCAAGGCCAGAGGCTCGGTGGTGGAAAAGGGGCTATAGATCATTATGTAACACCAATCAAAGCTGGTAAAAAAGTTGCACCAATTCTTGGAGCAAGATTTTTGATTTTATTTGTCTTTTTAGGAAGAGTAATAGTTGAAATAGGTGGTAAATGTGAATTTAAAGAAGTTGAAGAATTCCTTACGGATATTGCCAACAAGTTACCTTTCAAAGCTATGGCAGTGTCTCAGAAAATGATGGAAAAAATGAGGGAGGATGAAAAATGGCGGGAAGAAAACAATCAGAATCCTTACACGATGAAATATTTGATACAGAATAATATGGGAGGTTGTCAGAGGTGGGTGTCGCCTTGGGATTTGAAATATTTTTGTAAATATGTTTAAATGGGCAATAAAAGTTGTTTGATTATTTAAATGAGACAAATTTTTCAAGTCTGTTGTTTGTAGAAACTACTTAACTTTCCATAGCTTTGTTTTCAACACAACAGGAATCTGTAAAATTTGCCTTCAGAGATTTTGCGAAATTTATGTACAGTGTACAGTGTCAAGACTGTTCAGGAGGTGGTTGTGAACAGGTTGGAACAGTTATACTAAATTTTAAATTTTGAAATAATAAGCTACCAACTTTTCCCTTTTCATACCAAAGTTTCAAAATTCTGCCTTCATTAGTATTCCAGAAAAACATTAAAATTTGGGATGGTGCATTATTCCTCTAATTCAGTTTTTGTAACTTGATTTTTTGGGATTTCTCATATTGTTATGTTTCGATGGAAAAATTTGAAATTTCGGAATTAACTCCTAATTGTCCTTCCACAATGCCCTACTGAACACCTAAGACGATTCAAAATTTGTAAATTTTTAGGATAGGTATTCAACCCTTCTATACAGGGTATTCCTAAATATCATGTATAAAAGAAATGGCTAAAATTTCTAATAAACATAGGTCCGCAAACGCTTCATTACCGATCTAATTACATGGTGTTGAAATTTTAATATTTTTTTCTTCATAGCTCCTGCAATTTTTGAGGGATTTAGCTCAAATTTGGAATATAGGTTACGCAATAGAGGCTGGATGATTGCACATGTAAAGCGTTTACCAGAATCTACAGGATGTTGTTGTTTCAGGGGTCATGTCCCCTTTTCTACCCCTGAACTTTCTCGCGGTGTGCCGTTGGTCGATTCTAGGAAACAAAATAATTTTTCTACCTTATTTAGAAACTTTTTGTTCTCTCGTAGTTTTTTCATATCACCGACACTTATCGAGAAAAAAATTAAAAAACAAATCTCTGTAATAAGCTAGATGAAACTAAAGTGACTCAATAAATATTTTCTACCTACCAGTGGTTACAATAGAGGTTCCGCAGCCATATTCTTATTCATTTTCAATAGGAATCTAGGAGTAAGACAATATGAATACACTCAAATTTTCAACACCCTGTAGATCGGTAACGAAGCGTTTGCGGACCTATGTTTATTAGAAATTTTAGTCATAAAATAAACCAGAGAATCACCCCCTTCCATTTGTACATGATATTTTGGAACACCCTGTACATACTGGCTGAGTTCGTTTTCGTCATCTTTTTCGTCGATTTGCTCCGAAATTTTGACAGGCACGTGATTTGTAAATTGAAACTGCCTGTCAAAATTTCGGAGCAAATCGACGAAAAAGATGACAAAAACGAACTCGGCCACTGTATATTTTCCCAAGACATAGTTTGACACTGTCAACTTTGAAACATAAACAATGCTGCTTATTGGTTGCAAGATTCCATTTGCAGGACATGCATTGTAAAACTGATTCCAACCTGCAGGGACACCGTATTTTGCGACCAATCAAGGCCAAGCGTTATTGTTTATGTTCCTAAGTTTTCAATGTCAAAATCCATCTTGAGAAAAAATAGACTTTAAATTTTATTATTTGTTTCATAAATATTTTTTGTAGTTTTCCAAAATTTCCTTTCTCAGATTGCCTTATTAACTCTCTATACTTTTCAGATTTCTCCAAACTCAACTAATCATGAATGGATAAACAAATTTATGAAATTAATAGAAAAATGTTATGAGGTTTATTTAATATCACTTCTTCAGAAATTTTACCATTCCAGAAACTCTTATTTCATTTAAATCTTTTTTTACTTCTATAGATTGAGTTCCTTTGAAACTATACCTTGTTGGGTGGAGATGGAACACTTTTCAAGTTGTTTTCTCTCAAGTCAAGGCTTATATATTTTGCAATTAAAAAGCAACTTCTCTAGGGATTTCTCAAAACTTAAAAAAAAAAATCATATCTAAGAAATTAATACAACTAGAAAATGCCCTTTTTACTCATTTTCGTTATTGTTCTCAGACGCGAGTACCTCATAATTGAACATGCTTTAATCCTCAAAAAAAAAACGAGAGAAAAAAGCCCATCTACGAAAAATCCTTTGGCCAAAGGTACCCATCGGGAACACTTTACTTTCCCAAATGACTTTCTTTTGTTCAAAATTTTCCTTTGATCTAGCATCAGGCCTCTGCCCGATAGGGGGCGCGCCACCGTCAAAAGAAAAAAAAAACGCGACCGCTCCTATGTTGCATGCATTTTTTCTTTAATTAGGCCTTTGCCCATATTATAAAAGATTTGCAGCTCTATCTGAGTGGCTTTTTTAAAACTGTAATGCATGCGCCGCCTTCAGTTTTTCAGTGCCTTCATCAAAGGAAAAGAGGTGCAATTTTTTTCCGGGGGTGTGCGGAATGTCACAAAGAGGGACATAAATTACCCCCCTCTGTATATGAGAGCTGAGAATAATTAATGCAAGCTTTGAGTAGCTAGAGTAGGATTTTTAATTGACTTAATTATTTTTCAATGGTATTAATTAATACTTTGATTGTTTCATGATTCATAATTTATGACACAAACAGTGTGATAAATTATTGTCAATTGAAAGAATTTATGTTAAGCAAGTTTATGAAGTTTTTGCCAGACAGATTCTGAATACTAGAAAGCAACAATCATCCGAAATTATTGATCAGTACGTTCAATCCCTAGAACTACTTGCAAAAAATTGTAATTACAAAGCAGTGAGTGCAGATCAAAACAGAGATGATTGTAGAAGAGACGCGTTCATTGATGGTTTACATCAAAATGAAATTCGTCAAAGACTTCTCGAAAACTCAACTTTAATATTAGAAGAAGTTATAAACAAATCGCAAACAGACCATCAACAAATTTACTCTACTATTCGCTTCCAAAAATTGAAACATAAGTTAATAAGATTTCGAAATATGAAGTGTTTAGCACAGTTAATTTGAAAAGTGCCTATCATCAGATAACCATCAAAGAACAGGATAAACCATGCACTGCATTCGAAGCTGCTGGTAAGTTGTATCAGTTATAAGAATACCTTTTGGTGTAACAAATGGAGTTGCTTGCTTTCAAAGGGTAATAATTGACTTAATAATTTCAGAAGAAAAATTGACAGCCGTTTATGCTTATTTGGATGTTGTAATCGCGTGGGGTGAAAATCAAGAGAAACATAATGGAAATTTGAAGAAATTTCTAGAATCCGTCAGAAAACGTGGACTTACAATGAATCAAAATAAATATTCATATGCTCAAAAATCAATCAATATCTTAGGCTACACTATAGAAAACAGATCTATGAAATCCAATCCGGACAGACTTTCGCCACTTTTGAACTTACCGGTACTCAAGAGCACAAGTGAACTTCAGAGAGTACTAGGATCCATTATTCTTATTGGATACAGAATTTTTCAAACAAAATCAGAAGTCCCGTCAGCTGTGAGTATTTTCCTTTACTAGAAAATCAAATCCTGGATTTTGAAACGATAAAGACAAACATTGCAAACTCACTCCTTTGGTCAATAAATGAACATGAAACTTTAGTTGTGGAAACTGATGCAACAGAATTCTGTATAGCCGCGACTCTGAGCCAATCAGGAAAACCTGTAGCTTTTTTCTCAAGGCCCTTGTCTGAATCAGAAAGAAAGCATTCATCTGTAGAAACAGAAGCGTATGCATGTGTAGAAGTGTTAAGAAAATGGAGACAATTATCTAATGGGACGAAATTTCAAACTTGTGACAGATCAGCAAGCAGTTTCGTTTATGTATGATAGTAAACATTCTAGTAAATTTGAAAATGAAAAAATCATTAGATGGAAAGTGTGTTCAGTCTACAACAAAATCAAACCAAAATTCCACAAAAATTCCAATAGCCATCTGATTAAAGCTATATTTATTTCACTTATCACTGGAATCTCATAGATTTTAAGTGAAACAAATTTACACATCTGAAAAATCATAATGATGAAGTTAAATATTGTTTCTATCTTTTCACTGACGTTTTTCTCTTTTTCCCACCCCTAAAATTTCTTAGTCCCGATATCCCTTTTAGCAAACTCTTGTCGCGTCTGCAACCCTAATTACCAATTACACCCCGTTCCCTTTGATCCAGGCGAAAACCTTTGATCTGGATTTCCAGAGCCGTCGGCTGAAGGTGTTTTGTTTCGTGCCTCGCACTTCAACGATTCCCGGTGCTTTTGTTTTTCCAAAACTCCCCAATCCCAGTGCGTTTAAATTGACGGAATAAAAATGATTTTGTATTCCAGATGTTTCGGAAAAGTAGCTCGTAATTTAGGTTTTTAGACAGTAAAATTCTACCTAACTACAAGATATCCCGTTAGCCCTATGTTCTGAATTAATTTGAGAGTTCTTTTCTTTGAGAAACCCGACCTTGGAGATCCTTTCTTGAGGGGGTGATTAATAAGCGGTTTTTTGTGGCACAAGAAAAAATCTCAAGATGAGGCGCACCCTCCCTTTTAAACCCACCAGATAGACAAACAGGTGCATTTTTCGATATATGGGGTTTTTAAAGTGGTCGTTTTATGAACTGGACATTATTTGATGATTTTTGGATTTTTTGTTATACCTATACTCCTAGAACGGAAAAAAATATTCGAAAATTCATCAAAATGTGAAATGTTGTGTTTTCCTCAATTTGTTTTTCTAAAGTTGATTTTTGAGATTTTTCAAATTGTTTTTTTTTTTTTAAGTTGAAGTTGATTTTCTCATTTTGTCGTTTTTTACTGAAATAATTTGAAATTTCAGTATAATGAGCTCCTTTCCTTCCTCTTCTTCCTTCAGAAGTTTATACGTTTTTTCTTAAAAAGTTTTTCCAAAAATCATGAAAATGTGGAAGGTTATAGGATGCTTGAAGTACCAAAAATCTTTTAAAATTGTTGAAAATTTATAGGAAATTAAGATTTTTGAAAATTCTGAAAGATCCTAAAACAAATAGCATTATATTCCAAAATGCATCCCAAACTGATTTGGTTTTTGGTTCGAACGATTCTCTGATACAATTTTTGAATTCTCCAGAACAACAAATCCAATTGGATTTTCTCAAAAATACATAATAAGGTCAAACTTAAGTCCTCGTTGGAACACTCTGTACATCAGTTCTCAAAATCTAATAAACCGACTGACACCTTTTAACGACACGAATATTCCTCCTCCGAGTCACGTATCTGCATTGCACCCCTCATCTCAACCTCTTTGCTTGCTTTTTGGCACATCCCCAATATGCCGACCTATCCTTATAAAGCCCGATGATTGGCAGAATCCGGACAAGAGGAAATTATTTGCTGAATTTTCACTTTCCCAGACGTGTCATATTTATCTCATGAAAAAAATATCTATCTTCAAAATGTGAGCAGTGTATACCTATGAGATTTTCACCCACAAAAGAATATAATCTTCGAGGGGGTGGATCATAAAAAACCAAAACCTTAATGGGAAAAAAATTTTGTGAGAAAGTTGAATTTTTGGTATTTTTACCTGACTGAATAATTTTTCCTCATACAGTACAAAATCGTCATCAGGTAAAAGCGTGTGACTTGCACACCCTTGCCCACCCTTCTTCGACTAATACCTTTACATATTTATATGAGGGTATATCGGCATTTAAATGAAAACCATGCAGACCGGAAAGAATGGCAAAGGGGGCAAGAAAAAAGATTCCACCTGTATATGGGTACCCTATGGGAACTTCCGATTGATAAGGTCACACGCTGACACGCTTCGACATACAATAAGTTATCGATTTGCTTCAAAATTGATTTTGTATTTGTTGGGTATAACTATTTGAAGTTACAAACAATTTCATGAGAATTCAAATATTTTTGCTACATTGATTAATTAAAAATGCAGAATACCTATGGAAAGACAGAGAATAACGATAATAGGCAAATAGAGCCGAAATTTGAGCGTATATATAGAGCACTTGACGTTGGAGCTGATAGGCGAATCTAAACTAATTTATGCATGCCAATACACAGATTTGCTTTCTGCCTCCGAAATTGAGCCATGTTAAGATAGAAATAAATGAATTTATTCATTAAGAGAGCTTAGTTCCCAGGCATTTTGTTGACTAAACAATTACAGAAACTAAACAAAAAATAAACTACTACTACTAAATACACAAAGCATTAAAAAATCAAAATCCGTAAATAAATAGAGCAAACTAAATAGGCATTGGCGTAGTCAAAAAACCACACACTCTGTATTAAATTTACATCAAAATTATTACGTCCGACAATGATGGGGTTCTTAGTCGTGTGTCTGGAGCGGATGTGGCCAAAAAAAAACTGAAATAGTTCCCATAATGGTCTTGTTTGCACTCACTTAAGAGGTGGGTGGGAGTGAGAAAACCCCACAATAATGGGACAAGTTGTAGGTCCTTCAAGAAGGAACACCATGAAAAAAAAAAAAGAGCAGGTAGGTAGATTGGGTGTCTTTTTTAATATGTATGATGGGAGATTCATTGAGAGATTTCTATAAAGGAAGGAGTTATTAATTTTTATGTTAAGAAAAAAAAAAGGGAAGGAAATGGAAAGTAATTATAAAGGAAGTGACTTAATATAATGTTATGAACATTTATAAATAATTATTCCTCCCTCTCGCTCTAATCTTATCTTCATCGAAACAACTTAAAGCGACTCATTCAGACCTAATTTACCCTCTCTTTTACTCTGGCCTCGATACAATAGGCGTATACACACAACAACAGGATTACAGTTACCCATACCTGTTACAACCCTGTACGTGGGAACTGATCGCGCGTCGTTTCGGGTCCTTCGTATGGGTATTTCTCACGGGGCGCCTCATACCATTGCATACCAGGGTATACCAAAAGAATTTGGAAAATTTAAGCAATATACATTTTAGGATTTTTTTTTGCCAAGTCTTCAGAATCTTGGATCTTGACTTGAATCTTCGATTATAACGAATCTTTACAAAAGTTGAAATGTAAAATCGAAAATCTTCTCTTTCTCGAGTTTCAGTATTGACTTGAACCAAGAATTTTGATTCAAAATTACTCAGAATCTTGAGTCTTCAATACTGAGAGTTGTTCATTAATGAGACGCTTCAAAATCCTGACTTAGATTTTTCATAATTCTACAGTATAAAGGCTCGAGTGTTTAGAATTTTTGAGATTTCCATGATCTTCTCACTTGATATTTCATAATTCCACAGTATAGATCCTCGAGTGTTAGAATTTCTAGAAAGCTGAGATGTAAAATCGAAAACCTTTTCTTTGTTTTCTCCAATATTAAATCTTGAATCAAAAATTTTGACCCAAAAGTCCTCAGAATCTTGACTTTAGAATGTCGATTAGGGTTTTGCAGTAGTGTCTTCATTAATAAGTCGCTTCAATGTCTTCTGACTTGAATTTTTCATAGTTCTACTGTATGGAGTCTCAAAACTTTAAAATCTTTAAGATTTCTATGATCTCCTGACTTGAGTTTTCATAGTTTTACAGGACAGTCTCGAGTCTTTAAAAAGTTGAGATGTAAAATCAGAAATATTCTCTTTCTTGAGTCTCAGTATTGACTATTGAACAAAGAATTTTTGACTCAAAAGACCTCAGAATCTTGAGTTTTGAATGCTGATTAAAGTGTTGTAGCAGTGTTTTCGTTAGTGAATCGCTTTAATATCTTCTAACTTGAATTTTTCATAGCTTCACAGTATAGAGTCTCAAGTCTTTAAAATCTTTAAGATTTTCATGATCTTCTGACTAAATTTTTTATAGTTTTACAGTACAGTCTCGAGTCATAGAATCTTTGAAAAGTTAAGATGTAAAATCAGAAATATTCTCTTTCTTGAGTCTCAGTATTGACTCTTGAACCAACAATTTTTGACTCAAAAGACCTCAGAATCTTGAGTTTTGAATGCTGATTAGAGTGTTGCAGTAGTGTCTTCATCAATGAGTCGCTTTAATATCTTTTGACTTGAATTTATCATAGTTCTATAGTATAAAGTCACGAGTCTTTAGAATCTTTAAGATTTCCATAATCTTCTGACTTGATTTTTCATATTTTTACAATACAAAGTCTAGAGTCATAGAGTCTTTAAAAAGTAAAGATGTAAAATCAGAAATATTCTGTTTTTTGAGTCTCAGTATTGACTCTTGAATCAAGAATTTTTCACTCAGAAGACCTCAGAATCTCGAGTTTTGAATGCTAATTAGAGTGTTGCAGCAGTGTCATCATCAATGAGTCGCTTCAATATCTTCTGACTTGAATTTTTCATAGTTCTACAGTATGAAGTCTCAAGTCTCTAAAATCTTGAAGATTCTCATAGTTTTACAGTACAGTTTCGAGTTATAGAGTCTTTAAAAAGTTGAGATGTAAAATCAGAAATATTTTCTTTTTTGAGTCTCAGTCAGTATTGACTCTTGAACCAAGAATTTTTGACTCAGAATCTTGAGTTTTGAATGCTGATTAGAGTGCTGCAGCAGTGGCTTCATCAATGAGTGGTTTCAATATCTTTTGACTTGAATTTTTCATGATTTCCTGAAATGAGTTTTTATAGTTTTACAGTACAGTCTCGAATCATAGAGTCTTTAAAAAGTTGATATGTAAAATCAGAAATATTCTCTTTCTTGAGTCTCAGTATTGACTTTTAACCAGATACCAAATACTGATTAGAGTTTTGCAGCAGTGTTTTCATTCATGACTTGATTTTTCATGATTTTTAGTCTCGAGTCTCCACAGTCTCTAGAATCGCAATTTTTTTTTTTTCTAACGTTTCATTATTGATTCTTGAATCAATGATTTTGATTCAAATGCTACATTGAACTGCAAAAATCATCCCCAAGGTAGCGTTGAAAAATTTCGGCGATAAATTATTTAGAAAGTGAGTAATAAAGGTAGGTTCTGTGACATGGTTTCTTCCTTAATTTAAAGATAAGCTCCTACAAATGGATTAGAAATTATTTGAGTTTCAAATTTGTATATAGTCCAAGGTATAAGACAATATTGCTAAACTCTTACACAGTCGAGCCTTATTAGTATTACTCAACTGAACTGATTACCTACATCTAAAGAATCAAGGCGTAATAAGACTCTAAACATTCAAAAAAGTTACAATTTTAGACATCCGACAATTATTCTTAAGTCTCTAAAACCTATTCAATCTTAGGATTCTGATGAATTCTAAAAATTCAACACTAAATAATCAAATTCATGAATATTGTTTTGAATTCTCCCTCGTATATATACGAGCCAAAAAGGCACAACTTCGATGTGTACGGGGAGCGAGAGAGTGAACTTGCCGGTGGTGGGGGTAGGTTCCCACGCTGTATCGGAATGTATATCGGAAGTTTTCGAAAAAGGTACGTCATTTGTTTCGTACCGGGTCAAGTGACCAATGTCGGAGGACTTTGTTCCTTCTTCGGCATTCGTGAACTAGTTTTAGTAGTGCCATATAACAGTGCAAGTGACAGTGAATAATTTGGAATAATTATATCAAAGAAAAAATGATGCCTATAAGTGACGATGAATACGATATACCTTCACAAGATTCTCAAAGTGGTACGATGTCAAAAGCAGAGCTCAGGAAAACCCATAAGCCGATCATGGAAAAACGTCGTCGAGCCAGGATCAACAATTGCTTGAACGAGATCAAGAATTTGATTCTTGAAGCCATGAATAAAGACGTGAGTATTTTTAGTTGATAATTCAACAAATTCTTTAAAAAAGGTTTCAATTTCCAGCCCGCCCGTCACACCAAACTCGAAAAAGCAGACATCCTGGAGATGGCAGTGAAGCATTTGCAAAACGTACAGAGACAACAATTGGCTGTCGCTATTGCTTCTGATCCCACAGTGATCAGAAAATTTAAAAGCGGCTTTAACGATTGTGCTACTGAAATTGACAGGTAGGGTGATCATTCATAAATTTAATTCATTCATTCAAGAGCCAGTAATAATTCAAGTATAATTTGTACACAAGTGCAATACCTAATACAACCTTAAAACAAACCTTTTAACTACAATATTTTTCCTTGTTCCAGATTTATAACAAAATCCGATGGTCCTGGGAGCGGTATGCGAGACCGCGTCTCAAATCACCTACAAAAATGCATAAACGGTCTGGACCAAGTAGCTCAGTTTTCAGCACCCGCCAATCTTCCATTCACATCCAATACAATATTCGCCACAAATCAAAACTCCGAAACCCATTCTGGAGACCAGAACAATAACCCCAGAATCCAGATTCCGCAAGGTATCCAACTGATACCGAGTCGCCTACCAACTGGTGAATTAGCTTTGCTTGTACCAAATTCATCGAATCTGCCATATTTTCCATTACCTCATCGTCCTAGTGCTTTTGTGACAGTTAAGCCTCAAACTTCTGAACCACCTAAAATACTCAGTCCTCCATTGAGCCCTGTGGAAGTATCCAAAGGTTTTAGACCCTTGCACAAACCCAAACCCAATTATCCTGAAGATCATCAAGTGCCTCAAATAAGCTCGACTGTAATAACAGAAGTGAAAACAATGAAGTTTCCTATTCATAAGCCTTTGGAAAAGGAACGCAAGCTTGTTGAGCATACCAGCGTTATCAGAAAACTTTCTGAGCCTTTGTGCATTATCACCAATCAAGGGGAGAGATATAAGCAAGCTCAGCAAAAAGAAGACTCTATTAATCTTGAAGAAAATCAACCTAGAGGCATTAAAAGGGATTACTCTGAAATTCAAGTACCTAATGAAATTTTTGCAAGACCAAATAAAATTGTAAAAGTTTCACATCACGTGGTACCTCCTTCGTCGTATGTAAGGCCAAATGATAGCGGGGGTGAATCTTCAAGACTTGGTTCAAAAGAACCATCTGATGATAAGCAAAAGGGTGATCAAAACGATATGTGGAGACCATGGTAGAAATAGTTTTATGGTAAATTTTGCTCAACAAAAGCTTTAATTCACTTTAGGAATTTGATTTTTCTTTTTACTGGAAGAATAATAGTTGTTATACTTATATAATTATGTACATTTTTACAAACAAGTTGACAGCTATAGTAATATATTTTTATTTTTTTATATATCACATAAATTGAATCATTTTTTATTTTTTTTTAAAGTAAAACACCTATGAAAGAAAATTTAATAAAACCACCACACATACACACCCCACAATCAAATTATTGAACGCGGACCCTTCTCAAAAAGCAATCAGGGAGTTAGTTAGGGCCATAATTTAGTGACTCGATAACCGATTTAAAAGCATTTTACATTTTTGTTGGAGTAAATTAAGTGTTCAAACCGCCTCTAGGCCAAATAAAATGCAATAAAATCCCTTCCTTTTATATTATATGTTTCTACAAGGCCCTAAGTGTATCGTTTAATCCCTTCATATTGCACCTCTATTTATCTAAATTTTCTAAGGACTTCATCTAAATTAGACTCCTCAAGGGAAAACACTTTATAGGGCCCTAAAGACTAAGTATATTATCTTTCGGAACGACCCGACGTCAAAAGAGCCTAAACAACTATATCCTGATAAGAAGCTCTAGCTATTAATCTAGATTCTTGCCTAATTTAACATGAAAACTAAAATTCGATGGTGGAATTTTTTAAAACATATGTTATGCAAACATAAAAACCGGCCCTGATGGGGGCAATAACGTGGGAAAAATCGTCAGTGAACAAGGGCACTAACCCATGACCCATTGTATTGGGGTTTGATATAAAGTCTGTACGTGTACGGTATAAATAAATTGATGTATGATCCTCTAATTTCGAAGTCCTTTTACTTAAATCATTAGTTCAAAAAATCCCTTTAATGCCGGCTCCTACAAAGTTATCTAATTACAAGGCTTCAAGATGATTTCAGAGGCAAAAATCCTCTTTTCCCACCCTTATTTGCAGGTCAGTTTCGTATGAGAGAATTTTGGGTTGAGAATAAAAGTCGGCTAATTACAAAAGAAATGGTTGAGTTTTTGTTGAGGTGGACAATCAGGTATAAAAGTATTTGTGCCACACGAATCACACGCTTTTATATTATGAATAGAATTTCATGTCATCGTCCGCTATTTTGGATAGGCTGATTGCTTTTTTCCATAGAATCCAGCTCCAAATTTCAGAATAATTCAGTATATGGAGTTGGGGAGATCCCAAAGGACCATTAGGAAACAAAATCTCAACAACAAAAAAAATTGAAATTTCATCGTTTCGGTAAGAAGGTGAAGGAAACCTTATGATTTAGATTTTGGAAAACTATGAAAGGTCATAATTTTTTTTCTATTTTAGATAGAAAGCTGAAATTTTCAGCAATTCTTATCCCAGTAGAAGACTACAATCCCTGAAAATTTCAGCTCATTTAAACTCATAGTTCCTGAAATAAAATCGTGTTAAGCAATTTGGGATGATTTATCAATTTTTCAATTTTTCTGAGTGCCTTTTTTCATAGAATTCGGTTCCAAATCTCAGAATAATTTACTATATGGAGTTTGGGAGATCTCCAAGGACCATTAGGATCCAAAATCTTAAAAAAAAATTGAAATTTCTTCGTTTTGGTAAGAAGGTTACCTTATGATTTAGATTTTGGAAAACTTTGAAAGGTCATAATTTTTTTTCTATTATAGATAGAAAGCTGAAATTTTCAGCGATTCTTATCCCAGTAGTGAACTACAATTCCTGAAAATTTCAGTTCATTTGGACCCGCATTTCCTGAGATGAAATCGTGTTAAGCAGTTTGGGGTGATTTATCAATTTTTCAATTTTTCTGAGTGCCTTTTTTCATAGAATCCAGTTTCAAATATCAAAATAATTTAGTATATGGAATTTGGGAGATCCCAAAGGACCATTAGGACACAAAATCTCAACAAAAAAAAATTTGAAATTTCATCGTTTCAGTAAGATGGTATCTACCTTATGATTTAGATTTTGGAAAACTCTGAAAGGTCATAACTTTTTTTCTATTATAGATAGACAGTTGAAATTTTCAGCGATTCTTATCCCAGTAGAGGACTACAAATCCCTGAAAATTTCAGTTGATTTGGACTCATAGTTCCTGAGATAAAATCGGGTTAATCAATTTGGGGTGATTTATCAATTTTTCAGTTTTTCTGAGTGCCTTTTTTCCTCAATGCTTTTTTCATAGAATCCGGTTCCAAATCTCAGAATAATTTAGTATATGGAGTTTCATCGTTTCAGTAAGAAGGTGAAGGAAACCTTATGATTTAGATTCCAGAAGTTTTGCTGGTTTTGACAAGTTTCAAAAGTTTTCCCAGTTTTGTACTTGTGCGAAAGATTAATAGATATTTTTTATTTGTTAATTAAATTTTCCAATCAATTAACCCATTTAATTTTATTTTTCTCTTTGTCGTTTCAGATGCATTAGACAAAGATGGAAATATTTCAAAACTCATTTTTTAATAATCAAAGTAGGCTTTGGGAAATTGATGTTATCTTTCTTTTTACTGCATTGGACAAGAAAGAAATGCATAAAATTGATGTTATTTTTTGTCTTTATCGTTTTAAATGTGCTACACAAAAACGGATATTGAATAGCGGATTTTTCTATTTTTTCTATTGGTCGCGTTCACCAGCACTATATGTTAAGTGATTAGCAAGCGGCTTTGTTCAAAGAAGTGGAAGAACAGTTTTGACTGGCCTAGAGCTGATTTTCATCTGTTTTCAACAAAGCCCATGTTGCTGGTGAACGTGACCATTGATTTTTTCAAAAACATCAAAACGGGCTTGTGAGTCAAACTTGATGCCATCTTTTCTCTTTATCGTTTCGAACTCATTAGACAAGGATAAATATATTCTACAAACATTATAATGCAAATCATAAGACGATGAAAATATTTCAAAACTCATTTTTTGATGTTCACAGTAGGCTTTGGAAAATTGGTGTATTCTTCCTTCTATATTAGAGAGTTATTGGACGTGCAATAAGGACAAGCAGTATTTAAATTAGCCTTATTTTGACATCTACGCATGCGCATTTGGGACTAAAAATAAGGATTCCCTTAATAAGATTACTGCTTGTCTTTATTTGTGTATGATTAGTGCCATAGAGAAATACAATGAATAAACTAAGGTGAGAGTTACCAATTCTGTGGTGCGACATTGGCTTCGCGATGACGTCATATCGATACTAGCGCCACTATCCACTACAACACCAACTTAAATAATATTTGGCGGGCTTTTGAACTTTCAGATTATAGTCTTGTTATTTTTGAAGGTAGAAATCTAGCCCAGCGTTTTTCCGTAGTCGACAGAGAAAAAGATTCTGGAAAACGCTGGCCTGGAATCAAAAAAAATAATCAAAAAATTTCCATGGAGAAATCTATATATTTTGATCATTGGCAATTAACAAAAAATAATAAAAATTAAATTATACATAAATTTAACTTTGTAAATAATAAATTGCAAAAAAATTACAACAAAAAAAAAACAAAAACATCTCATTTTTCACTAATGATAGGTTAGTATTAAATAATTATTATTATTTATGCATGAACTCAACGATTTTTACATTGTAAATCTTACCAGAATCATGTATTTTTTAAACTAATTAATTTGAGGTTCACTAATTTTTGTCAGTTTTGAAAAAAGAAAATGTCATTTTATAGGTTGAAAATCGCAATGTACAATAAATGATACCTTATGTTCTCTCTTCCTTTTATTATCACATCTGTTAAAAAGAGACAGATATAAGAATGGGAGGCGATGTCAGAATTGTCAGATAGTTCCAAGCTACTAGCGCCACCATGTGCTACAAGAAATACGTTGCCACTTGGCGCATATGAATCGGTAACTCTTACCTTGGTTTATTATATTTCTCTATGATTAGTGCGAGGCAGTAATAGTAGATTATACCACGAGTCAATAATGATAGCTATTATTCCCGAGGAATATTTACGAACTGAGCCGCGTTAGCGACGAGGGAGTAACATTCCGAGGTAATAATAGCCATTATTGCGAGTAGTATACTTTACTTTATTTACGACAAATTAATTTATTTGAAATTTTGTTTTTAAAAACGCTCGTTGTTCATCCGTCTTAATACAAATACACAAGCACTACGCGTTTGACACTGACACTTTTGAGTTTGTTCAGGTATATTGTCTCCATGGTAGTACTACCTATTTAATTTGAGAAATTTTGTGATTGGTGTGCAAGCGGGATTAATGACCATTAATCCCTGCGGGAATAATATATGGCATTATGCTGCCAAAATCACAAATATAATACTTGCATTACATGTCATTCGTAAATAAACTTCCTTTATTTCAATATTTCTGACATTTTTGACGACTTTGACGTTTCGCTTTTCGACGATGACGTAATTTTACTTGGAGAATTTGTTTTTTACAATAGTTGAACACTTTTTGAGGCTGAAATTTATAAAAATACTTATGGCAATTTCCATTTGGCAATCAGTGCGCACTGAGTGTATCCTCATCTTTTTCTAAAAGCATGTAACACATAAGGATATGGATAAAAATTTTTTGCACCAGTTCGACAAATGGAAATCGCTGTTAGCTATATCAGCTGTCAAAATTATGAATACAGAATAAGGTAGACTCTAACACCTCTACAGTCTTCCAATAACTGTTATTTTCTTGGGAAAATAATGCTGATGTACCAATAAAATAACGTAGATCCTTAATACTGCGAGGCAGTATTTAATAGTTCCAATTATTTTTTCAAATGCAAGACAATAGATTTTTTTTTTAATGATAAAAGAGGTAGGTACCTAATTGATACAAATGTGCTAGATAAAGACAAATACTAAATAGCGTCTAATTTTTCAAAAGAAAAAAAAGCATCAAAACAGACTTTGTTTCAAATTTGATGTCATCTCTTTTCTTTATCGTTCCACAAGGATGAATATATTCCACAAACTTCACAAACATGTTTTTTTTTTAAAGATCATAATGCCATTTATCTCATTGCAGAATAAATAAAAACTCGTTCGACTCTCAAAGCTGTTTTAAAACGTTAGAAACTCGTTGAGGCAATGTTCCTGTCTAAGAACTCGTTGAAAAATCTTCGGAATTCAATAGAAACTCGTTGAAAACATGTAAAATTCATATTTCAACGAAATTTAGTGAAAACCAAAGATTTTTTGTTCGAACAATAACAATAGATAGAAATTTGTTGGATTTATAAAAGAATTTACTCCAACGAGTTTTTCCTTTTGATTTTATCATTTCTCTTTGTCGTTTCAAATGCATAAAACAAAGATGGAAATATTCCAAAACTCATTGGAATTGGAAAATTGGCCTCATCTTTCTTCTTTATCATTTTAAATGCATTGAACAGAAATGATAGATGTTTACAAATAATAACTATTTTTTTGATTTCTTTATAATTTCTCCACTGGGTACCGTCCTACCTGAAATAGCCAATATTTCCATTGAAATTTGAACAAATCAAAACAAATTATGCACCATTAAAAAAAAAAAGCATTAAATTCTCTATAAATCTGTGCTAAATTGAGTTTGATAACTCAAATACTTTTTGAGCAATTAGGCTTCAAGGTGAATTTTAGTCGAAATTTAAGGAGCATTAAAGGACACAAAATCTTTACATAAAAAAATTTGAAATTTCATCATTTTAGTAAGAAGTAGTATGATTTAGATTTTGGAAAACTTTGAAAAGTCATAACTTTTTTCCTATTAAAGATAGAAAGCCGAAATTTTCAGCGATTCTTATGCCAGTACAGAACTACAATCCCTGATAATTTCAGTTCATTTGGACTCGTAGTTCCTGCGATGAAATCATGTTAAGCAATTTGGGATAATTATTTATCAATTTAGGTATCAATTTTTGAATTTTTCTGAGTGTCTTTTTTCATAGAATCCTGTTCCAAATCCCAGATTAATTTAGAATATTATGATATTTGGGGGATCCCAAAGGTACATTAGGACACAAAATCTCGACAAAAAAAAAATTGAAATTTCATCGTTTTAGTAAGAAGGCTAGCTACCTACATTATGATATAGATTTTGGAAAACTCTGAAAGATCATACTCATAACTTTTTTTCTATTATAGATAGAAAGCTGAAATTTCCAGCGATTCTTATCCCAATTCATGGAAATTACAGCTCATTTGGACCTTATAGTTCCAGAAATAAAATCGTGTTGAGCAATTTGAGGTGAATTATTAATTTTTCAATTTTTCTGAGTGCCTCTTTTCATAGAATCCGGCTCCAATCTCAGAATTTGGTGTATGGAGTTTGGGGGGATCCGAAAGGACCATTAAAACACAAAATCTTAATAACAAAAAAATTGTTTTTCATCGGGGTCTGTTATTAATCAGTACACTTATAACCAGTAATAAACGAACTGTAACGAAAATAACCAAAAATATGCAAACTAACCTGTCCACTTAATGCGTACAGTTTAACCTGATTTCAACGATATATGGTTTAATATGTTTATCTCTCGGTTTATCTCCAATAGTTATAGGGGAAAACACGAAAATCTCTTGCTAGGTCTCTAATGTTATTTTTTTAAAAATAATAATAATAACTTAAACATCCGGATTCATTGTAATATTTCACCTTGTATATTAATGAATAAAGTTTGAACAATAAATTGTTTATAAAAAAAATCTCTAAAGCTTAAATGGTATAATTTTTCTTTTTTCAATATGAAACTTTGAAAGGGGTTTTCATGTTTTTCCCTAGAACTATTGAAGATAGACATATCAAACCATATATCGTTGAGTTCAGGTTAAAAGACTGACTAACATCACTGTTGTTTATGTGTAATATATAATATGTATAACGATTTTCAGCTTTAGCAAATTCGTTGCATTACCTAAATTATCTCGACAACTTTAACAAGACCCTAGGTCCTTGTCCCATGTTTCGCTTGACTGACTGCGCTATATTCATGTACATTAGTTATTTACATTACAAGTGCGTTTATGAACATGATTACAATAACGAGTGTGAAAGACGAGGTCGTAGACCGAGTCGTTCTAATCACACGAGTTTTGTAGTCATGTTTAAACGCACGTGTGATGTACAACGTTTTATTTACAAAGCGAAAAATAAGAATGTTTTTTCAATTAATTTCGTTTATTAGTTGTTGTCTACCTTTATTTTACCTTTACAGGTTTACCTTTGACATTTGTCAAATCACCAAAAATAGTTGTGTTATGAATTCATAACCTAGTCTATAACACCACTAGTTGTGTTATGAGTCTCATAACATAACTCAATTACTAGAAAAATGGTTATGTAAAAACGTCATAACCAAACGCTTGTAGATAATTTAATCAACTGTCCAAAAACTGGCTTTAGTAAAGAAAATTGCCCAGTTTGAGCTATTGATTAGGGATAAAAATACCCAAGTAGCACAGAAATATTGTTATTAGACCTAAGTGCTTTATATCCGATTTGTTAGAGCATTTGAAGTAACAAAACTGATTTTTAAGAGACTCAATAAATACAAATGTATCATGAAAACAAATTTATTTTGTTATTTTGCTATATAGATATTTTCAAGATTAATTTAAATAACAATTTTATAAGTTTGGTCATTAACTTGCTCATAAATATTTATATGACAAGACTTATAAAACTGTTTTTGTTTGAGCTAGATATATTTTGTAGTTGCTTTATAGCAATACTCACAAACAGATATATATCACTTATAAAAGTATGCATTTTGATTTATTACGGCTTTATCATAAGATTTTATAGTATTTCTGGAGAATAATTTATAAAACAGTTCATTCTTAGCAATAATTTAGTTCCGTTCAATACTCTTATAAAACTATTTTATAATTGTTGTGGAACAAAATTGAATAAAGCACTTAAAAAAGGGTTAAATAACAGAAGTGTCTCACAAAATACAAAATTATTATTAGGGTAACCTTATAAAAATGTTATAGCACTAACCTAAAATTTAGTTTATCTACCTACGCTGCAGAAAAATATTGACATTTCTAGTTTTAATTCCAGTGATAATTGATATAGGTACCTATTACTAATTATCAATATGTCAAGCATTTCTTGCTGGATAATATTAAGAAGAAGTGGCAATTTCAGGAAAGAGGTACAGTTTAATTTCGAAAGATCTGATTTGGTGTCATTTAAGCAACATATATCTGTATTAAGGACGTTTAGCTTATAATAACGTAACATAACATAGATTAGTAATAAGCTGTCCAATTTCTAATTTTCTTATAAATGTATTCTACGATAAAAGTATCGTAAAACTGATACATTCAGATAAACTTTATAATAATATTGTTATTTAAGCAATTTTTCTGAAGGCTATATAACATAGTATTTTATAAGGGTTTTATTATTATCGGAATTACTTCAGATATACCGACATCCACGCCACCTAGCACCATGATCTGAAAACAAATATACATGATTCAGAACAGACGATGCGACGTTGTCAAACTGAATATATTATCTTCAAGTATCCAGAATATTTATTTGAAATTCAATAAAGATTATTAAGGGTTGATTATGATCGAATTCCCTAGACAAATACGCAAACACATGAACCGTTACAAGTTACTGTCTATATTAGGTAGGTACTGTAGCCCTGCTGGTAAACCACAGTGAACTAAAAATTAAAATACAGAGAAGGTATAATCTATATACTCACCTATTTAATATAATTCAATTAAAAACTTGTTGCAATTGTTATGGTGTGGTCAAAAACTCTAATCAAGTACCTATGACTATTTTCTTCCAATTTTAAATTCCAACTTTTTTGATTCAATTCTGTCGGCCACGAGTTTTAAGTATGATTTCGAAGTTCGAAAGTTACTAGTAACTTTTGATTTTCATCCATACAATATTGAAAATATATAAAGGTACACGTTTGTTCTTGACATGGCAACATTGCAATGTCTGGAATATTATAATAGTTTTACGCTATGTCATTTTAGATAATAAAATACAAATGTTTTATGGAACTTCATTATAAAACACGTTATAAATCAAATATGTTTTATAAATATCAAATTTGTTTAATAAACATTTTCTTGGCGATAAAAATGATATATTAGTCGACGCCATGTTTTCACGTTCAATTTCACTTGGTCCTATGTCGGCCATTTTGTCTTATCCAAAATAAATTAAATAAAATAATATAATTTAGAAAATTGTCGTTACTAAAATAATAAAATCAGTTCACAATGACATAGGACATGACATAATGTCGATTTTCAACTTCACGGATGATTATTGGAGACTTTCGTGAAATTTAAATATGTTTTGTAACTGTAAAACCTTGTTAAAATTGAAGCGCGTTAAAATATCTCCAAAAAATAACCCCCAATTGATCAGTAAAATTTGCTTCGCAGTAAGATTTGAGTGGTTGAACGGTATTTAGGTGGGCTATATATTTTTCCTGATTTACCCATGCATCCCTAGCAACATGTCGCCATATTCGTAATCCATAAAAGCAGAGAAGGTTGGTCAACCATTCAAGAATCAGTTTTGTATTCGGCATTATGAAAATACGATAAAATATTTTTATTAAACTGTTTTAAGTATGCTATAAAACATTATTTTATAAATGTTTTATTAGTAATTTCAACTACAGCTACAAAATTTCCAAATAATATTTATAAATCTGTTTTATACTAAGGTTCACAAAAGACACAATTGCTATATAGGTGAATTTATCTTCTAACTTATAAACCTCTTATAAAACTGTTTCATAACGATTTTATAAAGCACTTCATAATATTTTGTAAATGCTATTCGCGATCCTAAAACAACTTTAAAACAATAATAATATTTTATAAACCTGGGCCCTTTTCATACTTATAGACGTCATATAAGCGTTCACAACCCAACTAAGAAATATCGCAGTTATATAGTAAGATGTTTTATAGCAATGTATGTGATCCTAATAAGAATATTTGTGCTACTTGGGTATATAATAGGTAAATATTGACAAGCCTCATCTTGGAATTTTTAACTCAAAAATTACCCTGGGACACAAAAATGAAATTCTTGAAGGTTGAAGGAAACTCCAAATAAATTGACAAGACTTTTTTCTGCCACCAATCATCCTGGTTCCTGTCAAACTATTTGTCATGTAAGCAACAAAATTTTTCGATTTCTAAAATTCCCAGTACCTAAAACTAAAAATGTGGAGTCACGATAAACCGCCTCAGGCACCTAAACAGCCAGTAAGTATTTTACAACCCACTTCAAATCAAACAATCAATAATATTTGCCCAAAAATCAGTTATTCGAAGATTCCAAAAACAGAACAATCAACCAAGATGCCAGATATCACAATCAGAACGCCACGAAATGGTGTTTCGCGACTTTTGTCGATTACAAAAGATGTCAGAGACTTTTGGGAGAAAAGTAAGGAAGGGTAGAAATTATTTTTTGCCCGTTTACTAGAATAATTTTTTTCAGGAGCGACTGCTGTCCTCAATTCGAGAAAATCTACAGGACGCTTTGCCCGTACGCTTGGGTGGAAATGTGGGAAGATCAGATCAAAGATGGGACTTTTCCAGTCGATTTGCCAGAGCAAAAGAAAAAATAGCGTGTGTTTATAGGCTTTTGTGAAATTTTGTATTAAATTTTTTCAACAGGCAATTTTATTGTTTATTAAGTTTGAAATGAAAATTTCCAGAACTACCCATATCTACGAACTCTTATAAACATGCGCTGCATGCTTCCTCCTATATGAAAATAAAAATTCTTCAGAGGACGTCGAATTTTCATTGAGACGTCAGTGTCGACGCGACGCCCCTTTCAGAATCACGTGCTTGCCGCCCTTTTAACGCCGACACGTGACTTTAAAACGTGACTTATACGAAAATTTTCAATCTAATCATAATATAAATGATTTCATTGAATAAATAAAATAACAGTGTTTTCAATAATAATGGATTACTCACTTTTTGAAATAAGCCTTTTCATTAAAATTCTAATTTTAGGTAAGCATTTCTATTTTTTAAACCCCTTGTAAAATTTATTCCATTATAGGCACATCAGTTTGTGTAAAAATCAACCAACTTATTGTGCCAGATCTTGCATCTCCCACAACTTCAACTATCTTAGACTGCGATTATTCCTTGGAATTTCCTAAAGACGAAGGACTCGTGGTCAAGTGGTTTTTCAATGAACGAATGTACCCAGTTTATCAATGGATACCTGATGTCAAGCCTCAGGAACTTGGTAATAAGTTGTAAAAAAAAATCCTGCTTTGTAATGTTTTATGTTTTCGAAAGGTATTCTCAAAGGGCGTTTGGATTTGAGCTATAAAGCGTCAGAAGACAAATATCAAGTTCACAGAGCCTTGAAAATTGTAAAGTTGAGTCCGGAATTGGCTGGGAATTATACGTGCTCAGTGTCTACGTTTAGTAGTGAAGATAGTCGGACAAAAAGTATGTTAGTTTTTGGTAAGTAACTGGTTTTCTATTTTAATAAGTGTATTTTTATTAAATAGATAAATCCCAAGTGGATTTGTAACTCATGATTTTTTTCTCATGTCATATTATTCATGAAGTAAAAATCAACAGGAGCTTTTCTTAAGATAACTATTCTGTAACTAAAAAAAAGAATTTGTACTAATAAACTAGTGCCACCAGTATTTCGTTAAATTTCATATACTCTCCACACAAAAAGTCGCAAAAAAGTTCATCTTTCAACGCTCATATCTCAAAAACCGTAGTACCTACAAGATTTCATCCTATTTAAGAATTAAATCCTCTACAACATATCAAAAAATAGACAAAATCCATAGAGCCCATTAAAAATTCCACATAAGGTGTGCGTTATTCTTTGTCATAGATTTTTCTTTAATATTTGCAATAAATTCAAGAATGGGGAAAAATCTCCAAAAAAAAACCAGAAAAAAGTTGAAAATATAAATATAAGTTAAGAAAACCCAAGTTGAGAAACAATACAAATAAGTTTCTAGAAATCTTAAGGTATTTCTTGTAAAAGTGTGTAAACCAAAATATCACTAAAATAAAACAACCCTTTTCAATACAGCAAAAATATTATTTTTGGTAACAAAATGGTATAATTCGAGCTTCACCTTTTATAAAATATAAACATTTTTCTTTTTTAAAATAATTCTAGGTACATTAATATAAAAATTAGTAGCAACAATTATTTTGTGCATCGGGGTGTTAATCCCGTATTTAAACCGTATATAAAATAGAGTAAATACATTTATAAATGGAAAAAACATATAATATAATAAACTGAGAGTTAAAGGAACAAATTAATAATATATAATTTTTTGATCGTATTACCCTTAATTTCAGTGCAAGTGATGATAAGTAATTAGTCTTTTATGGAAGTGAGTTATATTAACAGTTACACAAAAGCTTTTCAAAGGAAGCAATAATATTATCTAAAATTAAATCAGTCAATTTTGCCCATAGCATCGGAATACGGCCCTGCCTTACTTAGAGCCATCGCAATACCGTTCTTGTGATTCAGCTGGGCTTTGGGTATAATTTGAGGTGCCACGTAAATAGCCAATAGAGCTAAAACGTGCCACACCCAATACAATTTGTCATAAATTACAATACTACTCCTAAACTCGAGCAAAACAAATGTGAATGTGATGTAAGCCATTACGAATCTTGTTACAGAAAACGTGATCAAATCATATAGGAGTTTGGATTCGTTTGTGGTTATAAAATAGGGCCTCAAAAGACGTCGCATCGATCTGGCTGCAAAAGTAAACAAAGCTCCACTGAGAAAAGTTAAATAATACCCTGGATAAAACCCATGCCAAATAGCACTCAAAACAAACGTACTCAAAGTAGAATAATTCGTAACCCTTTTATAAACGATAAACCTCAACCAGGAATTCGTGCCTTTATTCCAAGAGTCGATGCTTTGTTTCAAACTAGTCCCAAACTCAAAATGAAAAATATCAACATTCGAAAATTTACTCCAAGTTTCCCCGTCCCATCCCAATCCCGCATTATTACAAATGGCATCCGCTAAAGTCCAGGCGAAATAATACTTGGCACGCACCAAAGATGTGGCCACAGTCAGGTACCAAAATTTGTAGCTAAACGTTGTATTTTCTATGAAATTTTGTTCCTTCACCCTCGATATTGGGAATCTGGGCAGGAAAAGTACAAACACTAGGGCGCATATAAGGGCCAGAGTCATTTTTTGGCACACAGCTCTTAGCGGGCTAGGATCACGAACTACAATGGTTTTAGATGATTGGGCTGGTTTTTTGTATGTTGCTATCGAGTTTCCTTCGATAAAGTCTATATAGTCTTTGTAGAATATTGCTGGACCGGCCATTATTGATGGAAACATTAGACTGTAACTATGTAGAAATGGTTTATATAAGTGAAGATTGTTGATTTTTTTTTTCTTACCTGAAAAACTCCAACAAACTAGGCATCTTTTTTAAAGCGTAATGCTTTTGAGTTTCAGTCATTTCTTCTTCGTCTTTAAGGCCATCATGTAAACTGAAAGCCAGGCTGGTAACTTTTTGTGTAATTACCATTAGAGGGCCGCTTATGTCCAGTCCAAATGAACTATCTTCGAGAAATTGTCGATGCAAGTGCACCACGGACAAATACAACATGGCAGTAAATAATACTGCGCCGTGCATTATTGAGGGTTTTTGTGTTAGAAGTACCAAATAACATACAGCTGGTAATCCAGCAAGATGAAGGGCCTGATAACCGAAACAAAAATATGACATCCATATTCCAAACAGTAGTCCAAATATGTGTCTTACTTTGGGACTAACTTTAGCTGGTCCTAGGACTGTCCTAAAATTCAAGTTTCAAAAAAAATTGATTTATACTTATTGTTATAAGTTACCTGTATAGTCCTGCCAATCCTAGGGCAACAAGTTGGGACACGATGAAATTCAATTGGTCCACATTCAAACTGGTGTAGCCGCTCAGTCCTTCCAAAAGCCTGCTACCAGCATAGTTTTCGAGATCAGTCATAGTTGTAAAAGTTTAAAAAAATATTTTCATTTTTGTTACAAAATAATTTTCTATATGATGTTTTCTTGAAATATTGTTACTGGTTTAATGGGGTCATTTTGTTGATTAAGTAGGAATCTAGAAAAAAATAAAAATACTTTATTTATTTGACCTTTAAACATGGAAAAATTAAAAGGAAATCAAGTCGCTGGTTGGAGAGCAGCCAACGGAATTTTATATAACAACATTCATTTACACAGTGGCTAAGTACATATTATTTTTAATTAGGTATACTGAAATTGTCCAAATAAAATCGTTAGCAAACTAATTAGGCAGGTACTGCAATATTCATTACTATGTTAATTCTATAATTAAAATGCACGGCATCATTTTACCCATTAATAACAATCAATTATTGTACAAACAACGATCTCCTTTGTAATTTCAATGATAATTAGTTGTTTTTTATTTCAGTGGCAGGGTATGAGATAAGGGAAAGGATAGCAACCTTATTTTTGTTGAGTTTTTTTTCGATTTCCCATGAATTTTCACCATTTTGTGGCGATACGGCTTCATTAAATTGGCTATAACTTTGATGTTTCTGAACCGATTTCAATGAATCATATCTTATTCGATAGAGAATTGAATTCACTACATTAACAATTTCGATAAATGTACCGTTTAGCCTTATCCTTATCAGCCTTCATCTAGGAAATCTGTTTATATGACATACCTTCACATTTTGATTATTCATTCAAAAACTCCTTGAGGCACGATATGAAATTTTTAGGTTTAGGAGTCCCAAAGGACCATAAAGACACAAAATCTCAAAAACAAAAAAATTGAAATTTTACGTTTTAGCACTGAGGCCTTATGCTTTAAATGTGGAAAACTTTCAAAGGTCATAACTTTTTTTCTATTAAAGATATAAAGCTGAAATCTTCAGCGATTCTTATTCCAGTAGAGGAGTACAATCCCTGAAAATTTCAACTCATTTGGACTTATAGTTCCTGAGATAAAATCGTGTTAAGTAATTTGGGGTGATTTATCAATTTTTCAATTTTTCTGAGTGCCTTTTTTCATAGATTTCGGCTTCAAGTCTGAGAATAATTTAGTGTATGGAATTTGGGAGGTCCCAAATGAACATTAGGACACAAAATCTCAACAAAAAAAAAAAATTTGGAATTTCATCCATTTCGTAAGAAGGTACCTACCTTATGATTTAGATTTTGGAAAACTTTGGAAGGTCATAACTTTTTTTCTATTAAAGATATAAGGCTGAAATTTTCAGGGATTCTTATTCCAGTAGAGGACTACAATCCCTGGAAATTTCAATTCATTTGGACTTATATTTCCCGAGATAAAATCGTGTTAAGCAATTCGAGGTGATTTATCAATTTTTAAATTTTTCTGAGTGCCTTTTTTCATAGATTTCAGCTTCAAATCTGAGAATAATTTAGTGTATGGAGTTTGGGGGATCCCAAATAACCATTAGGACACAAAATCTCAACAAAAAAAATTTGAAATTTCATCCATTTCGTAAGAAGGTAGGTACCTACCTTATGATTTAGATTTTGAAAAACTTTGGAAGGTCATAACTTTTTTTCTATTAAAGATATAAAGCTGAAATTTTCAGCGATTCTTATTCCAGTACTTAGAGGCAGAGGAAGGACTTCAATCCCTGGAAATTTCAACTCATTTGCACTTATAGTTCCTCAGATAAAATCGTGTTAAGCAATTTGGGATGATTTATCCATTTTTTCTGAGTGCCTTTTTTCATAGAATCCAGAAAATCTCCATTTGTGGAGATGTTCTTCAAACTCCATAGATTAGATATCCTAGGATCTGGAAATCATTTGAATTTTTATGGATGTTCTTTGAACCTCCATATACATTAATAACTATACCATGTATCTCCATGAATATCCGTAAATTCACACAGATCTTCACGAATCCTGATGATTTCCACAGTGACTACCCCCTCGGCTAAATCCCTATTGAAAGATTGTAGTGGTACCTGGTCTAAGAATTTTCATGTTCAGTACTTGTAGAGTAAACTTAATGAACTTTGTTGAACAACTATCAAATAAACGCACACTAAATTCATAACCTTTCAAATATTTCTATTTAGTTTTTACACACATTAAAAACATACAGTAATCCAGTAATTTGTAGTAAAACCTTGAAAAATCCAATAAATTACAGATACTCAATTGTTTTTCCAAAACATTCTGGACAAAAGATAAATTTTGTTATTGTATAGTTGAAAATAATAAAACTAATGGATGTTCCAACTTGACCTAAGAAGATAACTGTGAACAATAATAATAAGTAGTTGACCATTCTAGAATTTGTCTATTTATCCAGATAATTTTGTAAAATAGAAGAATGTCGGACTGTTTAATATGTTGATAACTTGAATGTTTGTATAAATAATACATATCACATGAAAAAGAAATTAAGTACATACTTAAATACCTGGATGTCATTTTCAATTCAAACCTGAATTTCCATGCCCATGCTGATTATGTTACAAATAAATTTTCAGAGGGGTAAGCCACTTATAGAAATCATTGTAAATATTTTTGGGAATCACATAGTAATCAATCAGGAATCTTCTAGGACTCTATGGGAATCACATAGGAATTCATTGGCAATCGCTGAGAATCTTGTGGTAATCAATTTCAAATGAATTTGATACTTATCCCGAGTTTTCCAATAATTGAGCTAATAACTGAACCCAAGCCTACAAAGAGTTTAGAACTTGAAAAAGAAAAAAAAAAAAAAAGAGATGAAGATTAGGTCTGTTCTCACATAAATCACAAACCAATCAGTCAGAGCCACAACATATTTTGCTTTGATTGAGTCGTTTTTGCGTTATGGAGTGGCATTCTGGTCTGGGGTTGCTGTAACAGAACCCTTCTGGATTCGGTATTTGTTTTGCAGAAGAGGGCAATAAGATACTTATGCGGGGCTGATGTAAAAGAACATTGCAAGCCCGGGAGCCCCTATTTTTGAAACATCAGATTTTAACTGTCACATGCATTTTTATATTGGAAACAGTTTGCTTAATTTTTCAAAAATTCAGGGATGTAATCTTTGCCCCGAGCTATAACTTTAGGAACCAGGAAAATATTCCCCTCCCAATTCCAAGATCCAGCCTTACAAAGCAATAAATTGCCATCTGACTGTAGAAGACTACATAATATACAGACTTTTTTATAAAAATAAACCGGGTATTTATATATAGGTTAAGATTTTGTTAGGCCAAAGTGTATTTTGCTTAAGTATGTTTCTATTATTTGTATTTTCTTTTGATTTTATTTGTAAAATTTTTGTATTTAAATGTTGTGATTTTATATGTCTTTATCGAGGGGGTAACATCTTAAATTTTGTGACAGTATTGCGACAATCCCTACGATTTCCCTACGATTGCTGCGATTGTGACTGCAATCCGGGATTGTGAAGGGATTGTCGGAGTTTGGAGGATTGCATTGTGACTGCATATCATTGTGAATGATTGCAGAAGATTGTAAATGATTGCAGAAGATTGTAAATGATTGCAGACGATTGTGAATGATTGCAGACGATTGTAGGCGATTGCGAGTGACTGAGAGAAGGATTTTTGGTAGCAGCTTGAGTTACTGAGTTATTATCTAAGGAACATATTTATTTATTTTGGCCATTAGATTCCCACAAATAAAGATATGAGTAGAAATATGAACAAATATTTATTTTGCTATTCTTTCAATTAAGGATTTCAAAGTAAGTATAGAAAAGTTAATGAAAAAGTTAGGGTTTTATCATATATTATATCACAAGACCTTCAAATTTAATCGATTAAACTATGCAACATATTTTGAGCATGATTTTGCTTGGAAAATAGTTGAATGCACAATAACTTTATTTATTATTTCAAAGTTATTGTGCATGAAACTATTTGCCAAAAAGCAAAGTTGTGCGAAAAATATTTGGATAGTTTAATCCATTTAAATTTATAGGTCGAGTGGTATACGGCTAGATTATTTCCTGAATAATTATTAGGATTGAAGCCACAAACAAAAAGTTTTATTTTTTATTATAAAATGTCAGAATATTCAAAATCTGTCAAAAAAGGTAAACAAAAATTTAATCGCTGATAAATAGGTCTTGTGAAATAATCACTTATTTAAACAAAATTTAGTCAAAAAATGACGTTGTCTGATTGGTCTATTCTATAATGAATGAAATAATCTCTATTATCTTTTGCACATGTCAAAACCGGCAAATGACAGGTGCCAACTGTCATAATGACAAACACTTTCATTTTTTGAAATGGACCACCCTGTATATTTTTGGATAGAATTATCAATTGTTTTCTTTTGATTCCAAATATGTATACTATATGTTGATATTTGGTTCTGGTTCTGCCTGCTGTTTTTACGATATTTGAGTTTAAAAATGCATTTACATTACCTCAAATTAGGTCTGTTATCAGTTTCTTGTATCATTGGTGTGGCTTACTTGATGCAATTTTAAACTTAGCGTAAAACGAGCTGGACCAAATATCAACATATGTATATGTTATATTTGGAAACAGAAGAAAAAAATCAATCATGCTAGCCAGAAATATACTGGGTGTTGCATTTAAAAAAAAAAATGCAAATGTTATCATTATGACAGTTGGTCAACGAATTTGAATGGATTTTTTTTTTCTGAGGAACTTCATTTTATACTTCATATCAACATCTAACATCTCTATAATCCGGCCAATATGCCATGTATCATATGCATCAGCATAGTATTATTCTTCATTTTTAAAAGACACATCACAAATTATCTTTTCCTCTGCTCTCATTTCCCAATTTTTTGAGTAGCTTCTACTCGAGCTTCTACTTTCAGAGGTTTCAGCATCTTCCATGCTTGGAACCCTTTTTGATTGCAGTTTTTTATTTATAAACAATTTATATGGGATTTTATCGATTATCATAAAATATTATTGAAATCTGAAAATTCATTCAATCTTTAATTTGACCGAGGGGTCAACCACTATGCTTACAAATGTACAATGATTTCCAGATTTGGCAATCACTGATCATTGAATCTCATGTATTCCCATCTCAAAAATTGCGACTGATTGCCAATGATTTACAGATATT